CTGAGGACCCCCCCCCCCTCGCTGCTTCCAACTCGGGCATTTCGAGCGAGAACGATTCTTCTAAAAGGAGCTGGTTGGGATTATTCGCCGGCATGTATGACGACCGTGTGAAAAGAAGGGTGGCCATTGTCATCGGCCGTTACCTTTTTAAAATTATGGATACAATTCAACTGCAAAGAGTTTCGAAAACTTTCCTAACTTTCAAAAATAACTCTTTGGGGCGAAACGATATGTTCGAATGAAAATATGATGGCATACCGGCTGCGTCCATCAGTCGGCCAGCAAAAAGCGCGGCGGGGAGGGGTTGGTGTCACTGTCGGTGCCGCTCACCGATAAAGCCCCAGGTCCCTTCAGTCTCACCTGATCGCGCCGGGGATTAGCAAAGGGCTGTTTTGTTTGGTGTAAAAAAAACCAACCACACCGACTGGGCGATGAAGCAAACTGGTTTCTGGAGTTAATTCAAATTACACCAGAAGCACCATCAACTGAACGGTGTTATTCAGCAAAGAAAACAACGGGATGAAGAAGAATTTTAGCCTTTCCGGTTGCGCTGCTCAAAATCTGAATCTAGACGCTGAACAGCGATACTGCGTCGGGAGGACAGGGTGTCTGTGTATTTTAAACGTTGCAAAGAACGAGACTGTAATATCTCCCATAAAACTTTAGTTCCCCCGTCAAGTTTTGCTTTTTCCTGCTAAACCCCCCCACACACACACACATCCCGTGAGTCACCCGATTATCTTTTCACTCTTCCAGCGCTACCTACTTCTACAAATTTATTACGAGACAACCTTTTTATTGGCTAAGGCGAAAGGAATGCATCATACATCCCAGATCCCATCTCCTTTCTTCTTTTTTAAAAAACGCATCTTCACATGTAAGATTAGTGATCTCACATCAAAAGCACTCACGCCAATCAGAGACAAAGAAGGGGAGATTCCTGCAGGACCTGGTTGGACGCACAAGAGGCGTGAAGAAGTGACCGGTTGCGGCCCAACCTAAGGGGGATTCCCGATCGGGCCCCGTTTCTTTCGTCAGGGAAGCTACCATCAGACGATTCAGAGGGGAGGCGGTGTCAGGGTCTTGTGTGCATCAATATCAAGCAGGGCGATCAGGCCGACGAGCCGAGCGGGGGGGGTTCTTTCAAGAACCTTGCGAAGAGGCGCTTATAAAAACTGCGGCTCCTGTGTCTTCCCGAGGATGCGTGGTTGGGCCTGGCGATTTTGGGACAGCCTGATGAATCCATTTAAAAAAAAATAATTAAAAAAAGACTTGCTTCCGCAAAGGGAAACTTTCTCAGCGCTCGGGGAGGGAAACTAGAACCGGCCTCAGATGGGCCTGGAAAGGATGCGCAGAGGCTGCAAACGCGCAACGTCGCCTACGGGCCGCCAGGGCGACATCCCACGGCGTGGGGGGCTCGGAGGCCGGCAGGCACACGCCCGGGTCACCCCTCACACGAGCGCGTTTACTCGGAAGCAAGCGACCCCCGAGCTCAATGGGATCTCCTCTGAGAGAGAGGATCGCAGCATCCAGACGCCCTTTGTAACCGCAGCGCTCACTGCCTCTCCTCCTCGCCTGCCTCTCTGGAGGCGAGTGGGTGGGTGGGGGGAACCTAATATAATGGCCACGTTTTAAAAGACGCAGGAGGGGGGGCGCTAACTGTAAGCAGGCAAAGACAGCTTGAGGAGTAGGGAGAGCTGATGAAACAGCCTTATCACAAACTCTGCCAGCCAGAATGATTTTAAAAACAACCACCGCCACCTCGTTTCGACTAGAGACTATCGGATCTCTTTATCAGTTTCATTGAGACCGAAATTATTTCATCTGCAGGCTGAACTTCCAGCGATTCCCGGTTGGATCCTGGGGGACAGCATAAAACGACTGTAAGGCTGATAAATCACCTCACCAGAGACTAATTCAGAGTCGATGTGTGCGTGTGCGCGAGGAGGTTGGAGGGGGGCACCTAGGTGGGTTTTTTAAAAGAAAGAAATTAAACATCTTGAAATGTCTCGCTTTGAATAGCGTGCTAGTTTCTGAGCCTATGGCGCCCCCTCTGGATGTAAGGAAGAATTACAGTTTAGCCAGTGTAAAGGTGATTTGTTTATGCAGAAGTTAACTGTAAAGGTTCCAAGGAAAGAAACGAGAGGGGGGGGGGGGGGGGGGGGGGATGCACTGAAAGTGATGCAAAGCCACGGAAAGGCGTCTATCCCGGGCAAGTCAGCCTGACAGTGAATGATTGAAATGAGTTTGCCGCGCAAGAAGCGACTGAAGGGTGTCCTAATTGCCGAGCGACACGGTGCGTGAGCGACACAGGCGCCCATAGGCATGCCTCAGACGTGAAACGTGTACGCCTCTGCAGAGGAATCTGTAGTTATCAAAATACTAATCAATCACGAGAAGGTATGCCTAATTCTTTCTCTTGGCCATTGGCAGTTCTCGGAATGCGTGGCAATTCTTGTAGGATTTCACTAACATTAAACTTTTCTTCCATCTCTCTTACCTTAAAAAAAAATCATAGTTTTTAGAAACCGAGATCGATGAAATTCGCACTTGAACTTACCACTTAATAGGCAGCCGCGAAACCAGACCCTTTGAAGACGAAAATGTGTTATTCTCCCGGGTGAAACAGAAAAACCAGGGGAAGGGAACAGATTTCGCTTTCTCGGACTGTTGCATTCAGTCACTGGGTTTGGAATATTTTGTAGATTCGATAGAGAAAAAAGAAACCCGCGCTTGAGGAGGGCAGACATGGCTTTTTACATGGGAAATTATCCCTCCCAGTCCTGCGACTACCATCTCTATGGGTCCCAGCAATGTGTAAAGACCGATCTAAACTGGAACTCCACAGGCCGATATGGTTACATGCCTTCTGAGGCAACCCTAAAAAATACTTTCGTGGGAATAAGACCCACTGCATAAAAATGGGGCTTACTTCTGAGTAGACCTCCTTAAGAGGGCTCTTTCAATAACCCTGCTGCGATTATTCGTGGGGAATTCTAAATCGTAACTGCTTCAAGAGGAAATTTGGTCATATAGGCTCCTTTAGCAAAGCAAACTATTTCATATTAGAGGTTGGGAATCAAGTTTACCTTGAAAAAATAATTGTTTACAATTACAGATATTCTTGAGGTGCAAAGTACGGGACTAGGGCCGCTTCAGTAGTAACCATTTTTAAAAAGGGAATTTCCAGCCTAGTGAAATGCCGACGGTCACCTCGCAGACTTCGTATAAACGAGGGCATGTTGAAAGAGAGTCGCCAGCCGCCCGTCCCTCCCTCCCTCCTTTTCTCTTCCCTGTTCAGTGAATAGCAGTAAAGAGCGCTGGAAATGCAACCTTGTCGTCTTCCTGAAGCCTTTAAAGCATGGATAATACATTAGGATGAGCAAAATCAAAACAAAACCCTCCCATAGGAGAGGTGAGTCACAGAATCACGGAGCTGAAAGCGGGGAGGGGGGGAAAGAGCCAGATTTTTGCACTTTAGTTTCCCCCGAGATGACGTATCTGTTAGAGAAGATTTCAAGCCTTTCTTCGCTTTGAACACTACAACAGAAATCTGCCTAGATCAACAAGTAGAAAAAGAGGGGAGACATTTACTTTGAGGTATATATCACAGAAGCTGGAAAGTACAAAGACTCAACAGCAGCGCGCGACCAAACTTTCTTTTTTCTCTTTTCCCCTCCTTCCCCGTCACTGAAATCTGCGCTCATTTCCCCCCTCCCTTCAAAGGGAGGGGGGCTGAAAACTTTTCAGCCAATCAGTTGTGTGCCAGCCCTCTAGGGGCCGGGCTGCCATTGGCTGAAAGTTTCTAAAGTGAAATAGCAGTAGAGAGTATTTATTAAAGAGATCCAGTGAGAGAGTCGGGAGAGCTCAGCTTGAAATTGACTAGGTGGTTATGGACTAGGGGGTTTTGGGAGCCTTAAAAATATAGGACACCCCCCCCCCCAAAAAAAAAAGCCGACGAAACTTTTCTTCTTCTTTTGAAAGGAGAGAAAAACACGCCCGCATTCGACTTCTTTGCCCTCCCCACCAAACTTCTCTTTGACCGTCCGCGAACGGATCAGCAGCCCACATGTCTGTTTCTTGAGAGAGGAGAAAACTGCAGCGACAACTTTGCAAGGCGCCTCTGATCCGCGTTTCTCTCTCTCTCTCTCTTTCAAGTTTCTGAGAACCAGGTCAATCCCGTTTGCAAACTTTTGGGTGGTCCTGCTCGTTTTTAAATGCTGTTTTAGGAGACCCTGCTCCTGCTGATTTCCAATCCCTCCCCACCCTCCTCTTCCCTCGCCCCTCTCTCTCCTCCATTTTCATCGCCCCCCCCCATCTTTGCTTTGCCGCTTTCTCGCATGAATCTCCTCGACCCCTTCATGAAGATGACAGAAGAGCAGGAGAAATGTCTGTCCGGCGCCCCCAGCCCCACCATGTCGGACGACTCCGCCGGCTCGCCTTGCCCTTCGGGCTCCGGATCGGACACCGAGAACACCCGACCGCAGGAAAACACCTTCCCCAAGAACGACCCGGACTTGAAGAAGGAGAGCGACGAGGACAAGTTCCCGGTGTGCATCCGCGAGGCCGTGAGCCAGGTGCTGAAGGGCTACGACTGGACGCTGGTGCCCATGCCGGTGCGGGTGAACGGCTCCAGCAAGAACAAGCCCCACGTCAAGCGGCCCATGAACGCCTTCATGGTCTGGGCGCAGGCGGCCCGCAGGAAGCTGGCCGACCAGTACCCCCACCTGCACAACGCCGAGCTCAGCAAGACCCTGGGCAAACTCTGGAGGTAAGGCCGGGCGGAGGCGCGCTCGATCGCTCGCTCGCTCGCTCGGGGGTCGGTTGGCTTGCTTTGTTGGGCGAGGCGGCCGGAGTGGCCTGCCAGGTCTCCTCTCTGCAGGGAAGGCCGGGCAGAGCCAGAGCCGGCGGGCGCCTCTCGGCAGCCTTTTCCGGGCAGTCTGGCTTGAACGGGCCGAACCGCGAGCCCAGCAGGGCGATGGTGGTGCCCAATCTGGTCGCCGGCGGGCTGAGTTGTGCAGGGAGGGCTGCCGACGGGTCTTCCGGCTGGGGGACTCGGTAGGCTCCCTCGCTGGGAAGGGGGACACTATTCAGAGGAATCGCTTCGCCCTCGGAGGGGGCGGGGGGGAAGCAGGGAAACGAGCCTGAAGGCAGCGCTGAATCTTTTCAAAAGCTGTCTCGAGATCAAGCCTGCCACCCCTTCAGTTTAGGACCAGTGTTCCCTCTAAGCTGAATTAGTGTGAGCTAGCTCACAGTTTTTCAGCCTCCAGCTCACACATTTTTTGTCTTAGCTCAGGAAGGAAGGTTCCAGAGCAAGCTAATTTATGCAGTAGCCATATTGCTTGCTCACAACTTTAATGCCAGTAGCTCACAAAGTAGAATTTCTGCTCACAAGACCCCACAGCTTAGAGGGAGCATTGCTTAGGACGCCCGCTTTTGAAGCCCTGCATGGGTGTGCCGCCCTGAAAGGCAGGCTGCACATGCTCAAGGGGCCCTTCCTCCCTTCCCGGCCTGGCAGCTGCTTGAGAGGCAGAGTCCGGAGGACCCACATGATGCCCTGCTCGAGGACATAACTTGAACAGCCTCTTCAGTGCCATGGCTGCGGGCTGGGGTTGAGTTGGCCGAGGCTGGCAATAGAAAAGCATGGGAGGGGAGAAAGACAATGAGTCACCTGGCCAGTGCAGAAACTTGTGAGGTGGGGGGGAGCAGAGAAAGATTCCAGTTGATTTTTGTTTTTCGGGCCTCTGGGCAGTTTGGAGGCATCCAAGGTGTGACTTAGTAATGTCTCTGACTCACAAGAACTCCCACCCTGCCACATATTTTGTTAGTCTTTAAAGTGCTGCTGCTCTCTTGCTCTTTTCTACTGCTACAGACAGACTAACACGGTGACCCATCTTAGTTAATGTGTTCTTGAATTCATGCGCCTGAGTGGGGCACAACAGTTCCCCCCAGACTGGGGAAAACAAGAAGGGCGGAGAGTCCCTGCTCCTTTTTGTTATGTCTTGTTGGGGGGGGGGGAGTGAAGGTCTAGACGGGGCACTGAGCAGTGTTAGAGATTATGAGGGACCAAAGCAGAAAAGAGAGAAGAGGAACACACTTGGGGTGGGGGGAGAGTCATATCCTTTCTCTGACTAAGCTCAGAAGTCCCAGGGGAAGTACTGGCTCCGGATGGTAAGGGAATGAATGTCTGGATAACAGGATAGCTGCTACATTGCCCAGTGCTGATTTTGTTATGACCTTTGACATAATGTCACCCTTGCATAGTTGTCCAGCTCCTTGTGTGGCCAGGAGCTACGTTGGTACAATTTATCAGCCTCCCGTGGCTGCCTGGGACAGGGCTGGCTATCAACTGTGGCGTGGAAATCTGCCCAAAGCTGTGCATTCTGGAAATCTCTGCTATAGGTATACAGATCATTGGAAGTAACAACCTGTCCCACTCTCTTGCTCTGTCTTGTTCAGGTTACTGAATGAGAGTGAGAAACGTCCATTTGTGGAGGAGGCTGAGAGGCTTAGGGTGCAGCACAAAAAAGACCATCCCGACTATAAGTACCAGCCCCGGAGAAGAAAATCAGTCAAGAATGGGCAGGCTGAGCAGGAGGAAGGGTCTGAGCAAACCCACATCTCTCCGAACGCCATCTTCAAGGCCTTGCAGGCAGATTCACCCCAGTCTTCGTCTAGCATGAGTGAAGTGCACTCCCCTGGGGAGCATTCCGGTAAGTGTGCATCTGATTGTAGACAAAAATAAAGATGCTTCTATACAAACACAGAGAAATGGCTTTGTGGTACAGCACAAATTGGCAGACCTATAATAACTATCTTTACGGTGCAGAGAAAAGATAAAATATGAGATAGCTGTAGGTGCACATGTACCATGTATGTCTCCAAAAATCATTGTCTACTGTAGCCATGAGAGGTCACTTGGAGAACAGATTGTCACGGACAATACTTACCGCATTGCATGATTTACACATAGTACATTCAAAAGATCCTCTGTCTAAGGCAATTTCAGCCAACTTTTTTTTCAGAATTCTACTTAATTACTCAGAAAACCAAATTTCCAAGGTAATTCTTTATTTCAGGTGAGCACTTTCTCCTTTGGATTAAAAACTCATCTCCTTTGGCCTCTACGACACAGCTGGTTAGGGCCATGAAACCTTTTCCAGCAGCAATTCATTCTTACAGTCAGCCTTCCAGTCTCTCTTTTCATACACTACCAGAACAGTTAACCATTAACTGAATTAGTGCTGTGATAACAACACCTCCTGCTTAATAAAAATGGCTGCCTTTAGATTTCTAGGTCTTTATGGCACTCTGTTGATACCTGTATCAGTACAGGAAAAAATAGATTCAGGTGTGACTCACATATCATTTGACTTAAAAGGTATGAGGTGTATATATTGTACACCTCGCTTATTGTAACACCTGTGTTGTTTCCTTATTTCTGACAGGCCAATCTCAAGGGCCACCCACCCCTCCTACAACCCCTAAAACAGATGTCCAACCTGGAAAGCAGGACCTGAAGCGAGAAGGACGCCCCCTGCCAGAAGGAGGGAGGCAGCCGCCCCACATTGACTTCCGAGACGTGGACATTGGGGAGCTCAGCAGTGATGTCATCTCCAACATTGAGACCTTTGATGTCAATGAGTTTGACCAGTATCTCCCACCCAATGGCCACCCAGGTGTTCCAGTCACCCATGGCCAACCTGGCCAAGTCACTTATACTGGCAGCTATGGAATCAGCAGCACAACAGCCACGCCAGCAGGTACTGGTCACGTCTGGATGTCTAAGCAACAGCCACCATCTCAGCAGCCACCGTCCCAAGCTCAGCAGCAAGCATCACAGCAACAGCAGCATACACTAACCACCCTGAGTAGTGAACAGGGGCAACCTCAGCAGAGGACACACATCAAAACTGAGCAGCTCAGTCCCAGCCATTACACTGAGCAGCAGCAGCATTCTCCTCAGCAGATCAGCTACACTTCCTTCAACCTCCAGCACTACAGTTCCTCCTACCCAACTATCACTCGTTCCCAGTATGACTACACAGACCACCAGAACTCCAACTCCTACTACAGCCATGCAGCCAGCCAGAGTTCCAGTCTCTATTCAACATTCACCTACATGAACCCCACCCAGAGGCCAATGTACACACCGATTGCAGATACTACAGGGGTGCCTTCCATTCCTCAGACCCACAGCCCACAACACTGGGAACAGCCTGTCTACACACAACTCACAAGGCCATAAGGCTCTGAAAGATGGCCAAACGTCCTCAGACTTACAAAAGACATTTAAGCTAAAAGTGAATGAATTGGGGGGGGGGGGAAATCCCAGAATGCCTTGTGCACTGCAGCATCTTTTTGAAAGTAGCCAGACCATTTTTTTTCCTCAGTAAGCAAACAATGGACTTAAAACTTTAATTTGAAGATGATTTTGTTTTTCAAACACCTGACTTAGTTTGCCTAGGCATGGACTTGGTAATATTTTTTAACAATGACTAAAAATGGGAAATGAACTTTTTTTTTTTTACAAAACTCAAAGTATTCCTCTGTGAGGAATATTCTCTATTTTAAATATTTTAGTATGTACTGTGTATGATTTGTTACCGATTTGAGGGGATTTATATGTAATTTACTTGGTTTTAGAGAAACTTAAAAATAATGTTTTCTTCTTCTGTCAACACTTTAAACAACACTTAGCAGGATGGTATGCCTTAGACTTTCCCCTTGCAGACAGAGGTATTTTTGTAAAGTTAATCATCTTTTTCTTGTAGAAAGCAAACATATGTGCATTAAGTCAAAGAAAAAATATCCTATACTAGACAGTGGTCAGTTGCACAATATGACAAGGGGGATTTGGAAAGAGACTTTATTTTTCTAGCTTGGAAGCAAATGTTGTTTTGAAAAAGAAAAAGTTAAGGAAAAAAAACCCACCTTGAGCCTTAAAGTAACATAAATGGAAAGCCTTAAGAGCAGCCCAGTGATAGCCCTTATCGAGGCCTGCACAATTCCCTCACTCAGTGCCAACGGGAAAACGATAGGATTCTGAGGTCCATCTGATGCTTTTGTTGCATCAGCATCAGCAAAACACCAGCATGCCCTGACCCAAGTCCCCTCCTTCACCTTCCAACACTGGACCCCATCCCCATGCGTGAAACAGGGGCCAACAGTCCAAACTCCAACCTTCCCATTTTCTTGCAAATTGCATAGGGAACAGAGATTACACATTCAGTGAGCTTCTTTGTACTTGTATGCGTGTTTTCTTTTAAAAGAGGCAGAGGAATATCAGCTTTAGCAAGGTTCACTTGTGATGGCATCACATTGTGTTTTTTAAAAAATATATCTAAATATATATTTATTTTGTGAAAAAAGAGGTTTTTTAATCAAGAGTTTTCCTTTCATATTTCCCTTCCACATTAATGTAAGCAGAAATGCTGGAGCCTTTCTCAGAGGGTATATGGTGCCTAATAGTTAAATTATGGTTTAAATCAATAACTCCTTTTATTTATCTATCTCATTTCTTTTTCGTATTATTATTATTATTATTATTTTATTCCTTCAGAATGTGTTTTAGGTTTGTATAGATGTCTGCTTCCTCTTATTTCTTTCTCTTTAAGAATAAACTGAATTTTCCCCTTCTCTCTCTCTCTCTCTCTCAATGTACAAACAAATGATTGCAAATGTAGTATCACTGAGTCATTTGCCTTGTTTTCTGCCTCAGTTCCCCCAGACACATGAATCAGGCCTGGTTTGTGCATGGAGCAGAATGAAGTGGCAGAGTCCTGAAGTGATAGAATACATGGTATTATTTCAGAGTCCAAACTAGGGAGTGCCATTTCTGTAGGAAAAATGCCCCTTAATGGGGAATATTTAAAAAAAAAAAAAAACAGGGTTGCCATGTCCCCCTGGCCACTCTTGGGGGATGCAGGGGTAGGGTTGCCAGATCCAGGTTGGGAAACTTCGGAGATTTGGGGATGCAGCCTGGGGAGGACAGGGACCTATGTCATAGAGTCCACCCTCTAGGGGGTCTATCCTCTAAAGCATTCATTTTCTCCAGGGGAACTGATCTCCGTACTCAGTAGATGAAATGTAATTCCAGGGGATCCCCGGGTTCCATCTGGAGGATGGCTTCCCTATCAAAAATGACATTCCAGCCCCATCCTTGACAGCCTGATATGGTACAGTCCACAATCAAGACCCTGTGCCCTCATTCTGTTTTGTGTGTAGGCCTTGATCTGTAAAAAACAAATTAAAACAATAGTGGGTGCTGACCCCCCACCCCACCCCCAAGCACTGCTGCTGGGCAAGCCGCCTCCTTTTCCATAGGATTTGACAGGTCCATGGGGGCTTCTACTAGTCCCTCAAAAGCACAATGGAAATGAATGGAAACTGCGGAGCCTCAGTGTTTGATGGCTAGCTTCCAGTGTCCTCTGCTGCCTTTCCTCTTTTTGATGATATTTGACTGCAGGGAAGGTTATGAGGAAACCACCAGTAGTGAAACTGGGGCTGAACAGTTAAGGATTGCTTTTTTGAAAGATAGACAACTTTTTTTATTTAAAAATATATTTGTTAACAGGTTTTTTGTAGGGAATTCAGTAGAAGAAAATCTTAAAACACTTATAATATGATATCTTTTCTATTTCTGTATAAAAAGCAGATCTTTTTAAAGTATTTCTGTAACTTAAAAAACTTGTCCTTTTAAAAATTCAGTTTTAGTTAAGGTTTTTTGTCTTTTTTTCTGCAAAATCCTTTGGCTGTCTTTGTAAACTTACCTTTTTGTATATTATTGTTTGCAATAAATATACATTTTATTAAACCTTAAATGAAGCTGAACTTATTTAAATGCAGTATGAATTGCTGAAGCTATGTTAACCTTACGTCATGTCCTAGTCCTAACCTGGCTAGTTATTACTATCTGAGCAAGATGCAAGGAAATGGACCTTCAAACTCCAGAGCATTTATTTCTATAGCAACCAAGGATCAAGATGTTAGGTTTTATTGTGCTTTTCTACCATTTCTTCCCCTACCCATTCCTATCATTAATTTCACTGACTCTCTGTCAGTTGCTCCTGTTTAGATAACACATGGATGAGATTGCTCTCCCTCTGCATTAAACAGAGACCCAGCTTTTCTTACCATGTATGATCACATAAGATGAATAAAGGCTACCAAGCTAGTGCAGGAAACACAACACACTGAGCTGGCCACACTCCTTTTGTCATAAACAAAGCCTACCTAATACAAAAGTTGCAGCTAACAGAAGACTTTAGCTGGTCAAACTGAAGGGCAAATTTATTTCCATTCTGCAGGCCAGGTGGTCATCTTAATCAGTAATTTCAATGAAAACTGCAAGATATTTTTAGACAACAAAATTCAGAACAGTTTATTAACAGTTTATTTTGTCAAGTATCTTAACAAAACCTGTCATTTCCCTATTTGTCCATCTAATTTGCATTACCATCACAATCTTCACTTCAACCAAGTCCCATTTCTGATGCATTTCCTACCATTCATTTCCTCCAACTTTCCATTTTACATTTAACCTTGGCTGTCTTACCTTGCTGAACCACTTTGGTATTGCAATGAACTTCAGTCATTTGAGCCGCTGAACCCACTTCATATGTGAAAATACACTGAAAAGTAAAGAATGTTCAGTCTTTCACAAAGCTGACAGTGAACCAAACAGGGTTTACTAATGGTGTGAATGGGTAAGTGTTATACTTCATTAAGTATAACACTTATACAGCATTTTTTCCATAGAACTCTTCACAGAACCTAGTACATGGAACCTGCTTTTGTACCCCACAACAGATTTCTCCAACTGTCTTCCAAACAATGTACCAATAGCTTCAGCCATATTCCAGTATTGGTTCCTCAGAGTTGATTCTGGGGCAAATCTGGCCATGTGAGCATTAAGCTTTTGCCCTTGAACTTGAAATACCTGTTGCTGTTCTTATCCCAGAACTTTACTGAGCTAAGACTTTCAAACCATCTTTCTCTTGGGGTATGCACTCCTGACAATTGACAGATGTGCTCTTGAGAAACATACATTCAGGACTAAAGCCACATTTCAACACAAAGGTTAAAGGCTTTCCCATTAACTCTGCTCCTTTCAAAATGACATTTTAAGCTGACATTTGACACTGGCTAAGACACACACACACACACACACACACACACACACGAGTAACCTTTCCTGTTTCAAGCAATTTGAGGAACACAGCAGAAGTTTCAGGATATAAATGGACTCACTTTCCAACCCTCCTGAAGCACTGAAGCAAACACCTGTTCTGCAGTGGCCTTCAGCTAAATATGTGCCTAACAGTACAATTACATATGTGCCTGCTGTCTGTTATGAGGGCCAGCAGCTCCACTATAGATGTATGGTGAAAGAAAAATAGCTGTCACACATACAGCACTGTGCAAGCACTTCTTTGATATTAGCTTATGGCAGCCCCATGATGAAGGTCAGCCAAATATTTTACGGAAGGGGAAGGAATGCTGAGAGAGTCCACAGTGGTAATACAGATCTATAGCTCATCTTTCAATCAAGTGATCTTCAAGGCAGCTTAAAAAACAGTGGAGTAAGAACACAGGAAGAACCCTCCTGGAACAGACTAGGATCCAACTAGTCTAGTACCCTTTTTCACAATGTGTGCAACCAGTTTCTCTGGAGGGCCAACAAACAGGGCATGGAGGCCTGTTTCTTTGCCCTGATATTTCCTCCTAGCAGTTGGATTCAGAGAACTGTTGCCTCTGAATATGGAGGCGGCCTTTTGTCACCATGGTTAGTAGCTTTATTGCTAGACCTATCCAGGGCTTTTTATTTTCTTTCCTTTTTTGGAAAAAGAGTTGCCAGAACTCTCAAGAGGGAAATTAAGTTTTCAGTCTGTATACTGAAAACTCAAGAACTTTTAAACATTTTTAAAAGAATTGTGTTGAAGAGGTTCCAGAACTCTGTTCCGGTGCGCTCCCCCAGAAAAAAAGCCCTGGACTTATCCTCCACAAAATCCCTTTTTAAAACTATCTGTCCTAACAACCATCACATGATAACTGACAGTGAATGCCACAATTTAATTACTCAGTGGGTAAAGAAGTGCTTCCTTTTGTCTGTTCTGGAACTATTACCCATCAGCTTCATTGGTTGCCCCTGAGTTTTAGTGTTACAGAAGAAGAAAAAGCTCTTTCTATCCATTTTCTTCACTGCAAGCCTAATCTTACAGATATTTATTATATATTATCACTACATTATCCTATATATATAAAAGCCCAGTGTATTGGCACTTTCCAGCTCTCACATTGGCTGTGCTGTGCACTCCATCAGCCATTGGCCCATCTACCGCCACTCAAGAGTACTCACATGCCATTGGCTGGGTGTTGGGTCCGCTCCTCTCTCCCACCCACTGCCAGCCTGGCCACTCTTCCCTGACAGAATAAACTGCC